AGGGTATTGCAAGATCATCACTCCCTGCTGGTGACAGCAGCAAGTATTCTATATTAACTTGCTTGGTACCAAAAGAGGGAGTCACCTTTCCAGTACTGCAGCCTGATCGAGGGACCTGTGAATATGATGCCATCTGGGCTTTGGATGCTTGGTCTCTTGTTCCTTCCCTGCCACCTCTGCATGCCACAAAGAGCCAGCTGTCAACTGCTGAGACTAACTTGGCAAGACTCAGCCTTTGTGTGAGGACATGGACCCACCTGTATACAGATGAAGCATTTTTTGCTCCTTTCTTAAAAGATAATTAAGTTGCGCACATACATTGGCACATCAATATTTATGATGTTTGAAGAAGTGGAAAGTGTGGGAGGCCAGGGAAAAAGCAAGTGGACTGCTGTACTTTTGCCTATGGTTTCTTCAAAGCAGACAGACAGGTCAGAGATCACAGTAAGACTAGCTGAGTCTGTCCAGTTTTCTTTCATTGTCTCTGATCTCTATCTGGTTTCTTCAGTTTGGGAGTGTGAACATTAGCGGAAAGCCAGCAGGTTCCTCCGCAGCACGCTGCAACTCTGACAATCATTAATCTCCTCGAAGTGAGAGTCTGGCCCAGGAGATGCTCACTCACATCTTGAGAAGGGAAATTTACTTCCATGGCATTGGTGTCCACCACACTGGACACCAGCATACACTATCTTATCTTTCTCAGCAGCTTAAGCTCTGCGGGCAAAGGTGCTTCCTGTAAATCCTCGGCATCAGAGCACAGCCCCTGGCAGGATCGGGACCTATCAAGTGTGCTTAGAAGCAACGAACAGCCTTGACAGATAAACGATTTCTCCTTCCACATGATGGATAACAGAGAAATGAGCAAGGAGTCCTAGAGAGAGGCCATTTAACAAGCATCTGCACTGGCAAAATGAGCGATGTTTACATGGCATGCGGAGAGAAGAAAATGTGGTGATTTTTTTTTTCTGCAGTCTAATATCTCAGTGTAACAGATTGATTGAAAATAATAAGGCAGTGTTCCAAACATCAGAAGAGGCTAGCTTCTTCCCCACTCTCATGGAAAAGAAGAAAGGGGTCTTGGTGTGACCCCGAGAAAGCTGGCTTCTCTGTGGTGTGCTCTGTGGGGTGCTGGTCTCATCCTGTTCTGTATACACTCTTCAGACCATGGAGGGCTACACACGGCAGATCAACAAAAAAGCTGAAGTTGCAAGGGTCTCAGGTTGAGACCCGTAAGTTTTATTTGAGTGTGTTTTTATGTGTTGTATACAGGTATTTATGTTGGTATGTGCACACCCATGTAGAGAACAGAGGTGGACCTTGGTTATCTTCCTCAATTGCTTTCCACCTTCCTTTTGAGCCATGTCTGTTGCTGAACCCAGAGATCACCAATTGGTCAGTCTGGCTAGGCAGTGAGCTTCAGGAGTCTACCTATCTCCATTTCCCCAGAACTGGGATAATGGGACATGCCCCATCATGCCAAGTTTTTATGTGGGTGCTGACTCCCCAATTCTCCTGCCTTGGCTCCCCAGATGCTAAAGTTACAGGAGTATGCTACTGACATGCAGCTGCCTTCTGAACACCTTACAGGATATAAGTCAATTTCCCAGAGTCCATTCAATCTCTTCCTGGGCTTGTCAGAGTACTGGACATCATCGAGAAAAGGGGAGTCCTTGCTTACCCTCTTAGGATCTGGCACAGTCACAAAATCAACCTGAGGGTATTTTTTGGGGAAAGAGAAGAAGAGAAAAACCTCCAAGCATGAGCTCATCCAGTTCTTATTAGGGTAAAAGTCAAGAAGTATGGTACATCTTCCTTTAGGACAACTTGAAATACTGCATTGTGTGCCATTTCTGCAAGTGCCTAGATATGCCACTGTTCAGACATACACAGATGCACGGCACATACACACTCGGAACTTTCCAAAGCTCCACATGGCATTGCTAATCATATAAAGATATTCTAATATGCTCCCACCCATGGAACAGGGCACATGCAGCTAGGTGCCCATTGCCAGTCTGTTCCTTACAGCCTTCTTCTCTGGCAGCACTGTGATTTTACTCTGGAATTTTCCCTCTTCCAAAACACCACCTGGTTGACTTGCCAAGCAAGATGATCCCATTTGCTTTGCTAGTGACTGGCTTAGAAAGGGTACCAGCGAGCTCGCTTCCTTGTGCTGTTTTTGCTGTATGAGGACACAGCAAGACGGGAGCCATCTACAAGCAAGAAGCATAGGCTCACCTACAGATTTATTGGCCTTTGCAGTCTACAGAGTTTGTTATAGCAGCTGGATCACTAAGGCATTCCTACCTAGTTACAGTTGCTTACTCAGTAACCCCAAAGATTTATTGTATTTTTATGTTGTGTGTGTGTTGGGGTGCCACAGAGGCCAGAGAGGGCATCAGTTCCTCTAGAGCTGGAGTTAGAAGCTGTAAGCTGCCTACCACGAGTGCTAAATGCCAAACTCTAGTCCTCTGCAAGAGCAGAAAGTGCGCGTGATGGCTGAGCCATCTCTCTAGCTCCTTACCTAACAATTCTAAGAAACACTAATCAATACTCATCCTCAGCACTCTCTCTATGTCAAGATGTCAAGGAAAAAGATAATACCTGCAAACCCAAGGTGAGTACAGTCCCAGGGAAGACCCTTCCGGACCACGAAGCTCAGCTTCAACCATTGGCAGGAAAGGGCTGGTCTTTCATTTACTTTTTTGAGCTTTCCAGTCAAGCTGGGAGATTCGGGACCTATGAGGAGGACTGTGGTGGTGGGGGGCAGTGTTATTTCTGAATAACACTGGGTCCTTGTAACTGCTTACCCAGGACCAGGGTGAATTGTATGCATGTGGTTTTAATAGGGGAATCGTTTCATAACTGTTATTAGAGTCTCAAATGAGTCAATAACCCATTCCTCCTCTAAAGCAGGAAAGCAGTGCAGAAGATGCACTATTAGTTACCTTTACAAATCTGTGACCAATATACCTGATACACACAACTTAAATGGGAGAATGTGTGATTTCATCGTCACGGTTCATCACAGCTGGGTTTGGAGAAAGGGAGCCGGAAATGGTGCTAGGGGAAGAGAGTTACCAAGGACATACCTCCAGGAAACTACACCCCTCAGCTAAGTCCCACCTCCTAGAGCTTCTAGAATTTCCTAAAATAGAACCACCAATTGGGACCCTAGGAGTCTGCAGGGAACATTTTCCAGTTAAACCATAGCAATGTTTGACACGCTTAGAAAATGAAGACATATATAAGCGGAATATCTTAGCCCCAGCACTGAGGTATTTCCGTAGATGAGAGCCTTATGGGGTGTATTACAGTGGGACACGCTCCCCTGTGGCATTGACGTGGACCCACAGGGCCTGTTACCCGCATCCACACTAGATTGCACAAGCAGCCCAGATGAATGCCACTGTTGAAGGATCGTTTGCTTCCTAGGTAACGAGGCAAAGTGAGCATGAGAGGAGAGGCGTTTGCAGGATTCTAGGAAAAAGGATGCTATGTACTGCCAGACACTTCTCCAATCAGGGTCTCTTCTAGTCTTCATCAGGGGATGTCTGTTTGGTAGACAACACTTCCTTCTTTGTGGATAATCAGGAGAGGAACTTCATTTCCTAGCAATTATAGAAGCTAGTTGGGCTAACCCTGCTATTAAAGCCTACCATATAATAAATATTTGCAAATACAGCTGCAATTAAAAACGGCTTTAGAGCAGACTCAGGCAAAACAAAACCTAATGATAAGGGAAGAATGGATGATCCTGAAATAGCTTCATGGGCTAGAAGACATTTCCTGGATCAAGAGGTAAGGCCTCTGCCAGGAAATGAGGAGTTAGACCATGTGTTTTGATTTCCTTTTTTTTCCTAATTGTGATTTCTTTTGGAGATGAGTTAGTATTTTCAGATTGGTTTTCAACTCACCCCCTCCAAAGCCATGATGGCGCATGAGAAGAGTGTTTGTTATTAGCTAATAGGAAAATGAAAATCAAAATAGGATCCCACCCATTAGGACTGCTATTTTTGCCCCCCCCCTTTTTTGAGAGGGTTTCTCTGTGTAGCCTTGGCTGTTCTGGACTCACTTTATAGACCAGGCTGGCCTCAAATTCACAGAGATCCACCTGCCTCTGCCTCCCAAGTGCTGGGATTACAAGTGTGTGCCACTGGGTCTGGCTGATATTTTATTTTTTAATTAATTTTTGTTGATGCTGTTTTTGTTTTTGAGACAGGGTATGTCTATATAGGCCTGGCTGTCTCAAAACTCATTATGGAAACCACACTGACGTCAGACTCACAGAGGTCTGCTTGCCTCTTCCACCGCCATGACTGGCTATATATTTTTTTAAGGTGTGATATAGGTATGAATATTGAGTACTGCTGCTAGGAATAGACCCCTAAAGTAGTCCTTTCCTACACTGCTAATGGCTTCCCCAAGTTAGACAAAGGACTGTCATATGATATCAATATCAAATCCATTTTTAGACTCACGCAGTCTCCAAAATCGAAAGCAAGGTTTCGAACAATATACACATTTTTACGTTCATGGCCACAGCATCATGATGCACAAAAGTCTACAGGAGGCAGCAACTCAGCTTTCCACTAACGGGTGCGAAGATGAACCCAGGGTGGCACGGAAAGTTGGGTCTCATCCACGAAAGGAAGAAAATTCAGACACATGGTTCAACTTGGATGATATGAAATAAGCTTATCGCCAAAGAAACATTGCAGATGGTCCTGCTCCTCTGAGGCCCCCAGAGCTGTCAGGTTCACAGAGACAGAGAGCAGAGCGGAGGTTACCATGGGCTGAGGAGCAACACCAGGAACTGCTGTGTGCCATTTGCAAAGAGAGTCAGAGTTTGTGTTGAAGAAAACGTCCTGGGAATAGGCAGTGCTGGCACTGCTGAAGGTAAACCTGATACTCCTGGAATAATAAAAATCTGTATTATACTTATTTTGACACAGTTAAGTAAGAGGTCGTGGAGAGGCATGGCGGTAAGCAATACTTACAAGATATAGGCGATCACCCCGATGGACCAGCAGTCCACAGCTTTGCTGTATGGTTTCTGGGCAAGAACTTCGGGAGCTGGAGACAGATAGAGAGAATTCATAATCCTGGTGATTCAAATGCCCAAGACCAAAGACATTGACTTGGACTTTTTTATTTTCTGATTTTTGTTTTTCCTTGTTTTGGCTATTCAGATTTCGAGCCACCCCAGAGTCTAAAAACTGAGCAGCGGGCTGAGGAACCTGAGTTATCAGGGGTAGAACACATGCTCAGTCTGCACAGCCCCAGGTTCAAGTTCAACCTCAACTTCAAAAGATATTTAAATAGATAATAACAAATGACCCATTTGTTAGTTTCTCTAAGTAAAAAAAAATGTGATGAAGTGTGTGTCTGGAAATAATCTTATATCAATTGGTCAACAGATGTTCTGTGCTAAGTATCATGGCTTAGTTAACACTGCTGTGAGAATGTAATTTTTATAATTAATTAGTATATTCACCTTGTATCCCAGCTGTATCCACCTTCCTCAGCCCCTCCCAATTCCACCCTCCCTCCCTCTTCTTCTCCTATGGCCCCTCCCCCAGTCTAAGATAGGGGAGGTCCTCCTCCCCTTCCATCTAACCCTAATCTATCAGGTCTCATCATGACTGGCTTCTTTGTCTTCCTCTGTAGACTGGTAAGGCTGATCCCCCCTCAGGTGGAGGTGATCAAAGAGCCAGCCCATGAGTTCATGTCAGAGACAGTCCTTGTTCCTATTATTGGGGAACCCTCTTGGACACCGAGCTGCCATGGGCTACATCTGTGCAGGGGTTCTAAGCTATCTCTATGCTTGGTCCTTGCTTGGAGTATCAGTCTCAGAAAAGAGCCCTGGGCCCAGATTTTTTAGTTCTGTTGCTCTCCTGTGGAGCTCCTGTGCTCTCCAGGTCTTTCTATCTCCCCCTTCTTTCATAATATTCCCTTCACTCTGCAAAAAGTTTGGCTATGAATCTCAGCATATGTTTTGATACCCTGCTGGGTAGAGTCTTTAGAGGCCCTCTGTGGTAGGCCCCTGTCCTGTTCCCTATTTTCTCCCTCTTCCTATGTCCATCCCGTTTGCCTTTCTGAATGAAGATTGAGCATCTTACTCAGGGTCCTCCTTGATTAGCTTCCTTAGGTGTACAGATTTTAGTATGATTATCCTGTATTATATGTCTAATATCCACTTATAAATGAGTATATACCATGTCTTTCTGCTTCTGAGATACTTCACTCAGGATGATCATTTCTAGATCCCACCATTTGCCTGCAAATTTCATGATTTCCTTGTTTTTAATTGCTGAGTAGTATTTCATTGTATAAATGTACCACAATTTCTGTATGCATTCCTCAAGTGAGGGGCCTCTGGGTTGTTTCCAGGTTCTGGCTATTACAAATAAAGCTGCTAAAAACATGGTTGAGCAAATGTCCTTGTTGTATACCTGAGCATCTTTTGGATATATGCCTAGGAGTGGTATAGCTGGGTCTTGATGTAGCACTATTCCTAATTGTCTAAGAAAGCACCAGATTGATTTCCAAAGTGGTTGTACAAGTTTACATTCCCACCAGCAATGGAGGAGGGTTCCTCCTTCTCCACATCCTCTCCAGCATGTGTTGTCACTTGAGTTTTTGATCTTAGCCATTCTGATGGATATAAGGTGAAATCTCCGGGTTGTTTTGATTTGCATTTCCCTGATGATTAAGGATGATGAGCATTTCTTTAAGTGTTTCTCTGCCATTCGATGTTCCTCGATTGAGACTTCTGTTTAGCTCTGTGCCTCATTTTTAATTGGGTTACTTGATTTGTTGCTGTTTAACTTAAGTTCTTTATATATTCTGGATAGATAGTAGCCTTCGAGAAGGTAATTCTTATTTGGGATGTGGAGTATGAGCTGTATCCCCAATGTAACTCGGGACAGCACCACTGGCTCCTGTGGGGGTTTGTGAGGTGTCATGGGGACAAGGGTGATGAGCACTCCCTGTACCTTCATGGAGCCCACAGCACAGCAGAGAGAACAGGGGTCAGTTGGAGCTGCTCTTGTCTTCCCTGAGGTGTATGGGTGATTTGTCTGTTGGCATTCTTGCCTGCTCCTCTATAGAGCAGGGGGACCATTACTTAATCTCACTTCATCTCAGAACCATTGTTCCATCAAGAGCCATCGCTCCCAGGGGTTTGGGCTCATTTTTGTACCAGCCCTGACACCCATGTTCCTAGCTCTGTGGCCTCAGCTCAGGGATCTGTGGCATCTGTGACCCACAGCATCCGTTGCAGTTGGCACCCAATGTGGGTAAATACATACAAAGCGTGGCTCTCACTGACAAGTGACATCTTTCCACATTAAACATATCCGCTTGAGACATCTTTATTCACGAGTTTCAGAACAATTACGAAAGTAGAAAATGTAAAAACAGAATCATTGATAAAGTCCTCACCAGGCCTAGAACTGTGTGTTCTAGGCAACTTGGATGGCTCAGTTACCCCAACATCCTTGGGGAAAAACTATTATCATGACACTCATTATCCCCAAACCATTGTTCCATCAAGAGCCATCGCTCCCAGGGGTTTGGGCTCATTTTTGTACCAGCCCTGACACCCATGTTCCTAGCTCTGTGGCCTCAGCTCAGAGGCCACAAAGGTACTAAGAGGGTGAGCCAATTGGTCAAAGTATTCCAGCCCGAAAGTAGACTCTTCGTCTTCTTCTGTTCTGAAGGGACCCAATCTCACTAAATGCTGGGACTTGTGCTCCCAGCCGATAGCAGCATTTAGTGAGATTGGCTCTCACTAGGCCTGAGTATGACCTCTAGAACCTACACAAACAGTCATAGGTATGGAAGCACACTTGCAATCACAGTGCTGGCGGGGTGAGGGGCAGCCTAGCTTACTTGCTGAGTTCTAGGCCAGTGAGAGACACTGTCTCAAATAACCCAGGGTGGAGAGTGGTTGAGTAATGACAGACAAGGCTGTTCTCTGGCCTCCAGACAAAGGAACACGAATGTGCATACACATATATGCATACATTAAAAAGAATAGGAAGGTGTGCAAACTCCTGTTGAATGTTTGCTCATGAGAGAGAGGAGAACAGCCCATAGATCACCCCAAGTCTCATTTTACATTTCAGTCCTAGATCCTATCAAATCTTTTTTATCAGAATTTTTCTTAAATAAAACAGAAGAAATGCCTTTGAATGTCTGCCTTTGCTTCAGTTGCCGTCCATGCAGGATCAAAAGGGTTTACAGCCCTGTGAAGTGGGTGTCACTACTTGGAGAAACAGCCCTTAGGGAACTAGGCGCATCCATGGGTCCCTCCCCACTCACGCTGAGAGGATGGTTCCTCAGGCTCCTCTGCTGTGGGAAGTGACAACGGGGAGCCACTTACCACAGCAACTGACTCTGGTCACAGATGGTGCTCGGTGACTGTGTCTGCAGGGACACTCCAGGGCCTGACGAAAAGTATATCACAGGCAGAGAAGGCACCTGATGACCATTCTCTTTCTACAGAGTGATCCCAGTGTCAGGAGCAGAGTCAAGCTGGTAAGGAGAGGCCATGCGCCACAGCTAGGATGCCCAGAGCTCATTAGCAAGATGGCTACCCAAACAGCCTGGTCCCACCACTCTGCTGAGGCTGACACAAGAACTCACTGTCATTGAAGCAGGTGCCCAATGGTGACAGACCCAGATGGAGGAGTCGCAGAGAAGGAAGCTGTCAGAATCTATTATGGCCGCTTAGATAGTACACAAGTAAAGACTGGGCCTATGTCTGACCTCCCCCCACCCAGTCAATGTGTATAGAGTAAAGGGACTACAGCCCTGCAAAGCTGTAGCTCTCCAAGGATGAACTGTCTCCATCCCTTTCCTCCCTCTCACTGACCATGTGGGAGGAGGAATCTAAAAGAACAAAACCTATTTCTAAGTCCTGAACTCGTGGAAACAAGAACGTGCTGGTACTAGCCTCACATTTCAGCTTGGGTGGGAATGCCAGCAAGGTTCTGGGAGGCTGGGCCAGGCGCTGCAGAGAATACAAAACAAGCGGTTGATTCATATTACCTGAAACGTTCAGATTTGTGTGTATGCATGTGCACACATGTGGAGGACAGAGCTTCCAGAAAGCCTTGGCTGTCCTCCCTCAGGAGATCTCTCTCTCTCTATATCTATCTATCTATCTATCTATCTATCTATCTATCTATCTATCTATCTAGAGGTCTTTCCCTGGCTTAGAACTCACCAGTAGTCTAGGCTAGATGGTCAGTGAGCTCTAGAGCTCTAGCTGATTCAGTTAGTTCCTCTAGTGCTGGTATTACTAGCACATTTAGCTTTAAAAACAAACACATAGGTTCTGAGGACTGAACTAAGATCTGCATGGTCACAATGCAAGTACTCTGCACTCTGAGCCATCCCTCTAGGCCTGAGGTATTTAGGTTCATGATGCTATGTACTTGCTACAATCATTTTTATATTTTGAGATTCTACCTACACAATAAAGTTTGTAATATCATTTCCAGTGTGGATTTGGAGCGGGGAAAGTTCTAAATTATCACTAATCAACAGACATTCTTAGAAAACAACATCTCAGGGACAGCAATGCAGCTTGTAGGTAGAGTGCTGTCTTAGAATGTGTGAGGCCCTCCTTTAATCCCTAGTAAAACACACCCTTTCTCTCCTTCCCTTTTATCGTCTTCCCTCTCTCTTCTCAGGTTGATATGGAGATCAAATCCTAGAAATTCCCAAAGCCTGCAGAGAGATTTTCCCACACTCCATTCTTTCATTCTACTGAATCTACCTGCTGCTTTGGGGCCTGCTTCTTGCCATTTTCTATATTTCTTTCTGGTGTGTGGGAGCAGGTAGCACTGGGGGAGCTAAATGGTTATTATGGTCTTTTCTGAGGCCGGCTCTCACGGCAATAACCACTCAAACGCCTTAGTATTGTGCTCTCAGTCTCATGCTCCTTTGACAAAACTCTGCTGTAAGTCTTTTTAAAAAGAAAATAAATTCACCACATCCAGTTGACAGCCTTGGGGATGACAAATGAGTCTCTAGGCCAATGAGGTGCAGTGCAGAGTCTGGGG